GGGGTACCCAGCAGCAAGCAGGAGAGGGACGGGGACCAAGGCTCAACCTAGAATGCAGGCTCCACACCTAAAATCCTCTCGGCCCAGCTGCCTGTGGGGAGCAGGCCGTCAGGTCACAGCCGGGGAGGGGGACAGCTGCCACCCACCCGCCTGCGGCTCCACAGGAATGCTGGGCAGAGGAATTGGAAGCAGGTGTGGGCTGCCTGGCCACCCTCCACCTCCTCCCGTCCGCATCCTCTCCTGCCCAGCGCAGCTATGGCCCTGGGGAGTTTTCCATGTGTTCTGGCCTTGGAAAGGAAGTGGGGCGGACGCCAGCTGGGAGCTGCTGGGGAGGGGTGCCCCTTTGCAGACCGGAGGACATTGCGACGGGGACCCTGGGGTCAAGAGAGAAGCAGGAGGGGGCCAAGTCCAGCTGCAGCCTGCTGCCAGCAGAGGCACTAATGATTTCCCACCCTGCTCTGCCGCTGTGCCCAGTGACCTGGATTTGGGGGGGTCAGCAAGCTCGAGACCAAAGCCCAAGTGTTGGGATCCTCCCGGAGGTGCAGAGAGGACAGTGACAGGCGCTGAGACAGGTGGTCCAGAATGTAAGAGACTTTGGAGAGCGGCAGAACAGTGAGGGCGGCTCTTGGGTGGGATGTGCCCCTAGGTCCAGGGACCTTGGGTGGGTTCCTTAGCTTCTCTGAGCCTCAGTGTCCTCATCTGCACAGTGAGGTGGTGACATTCTCGCAGGGCTGCCAGGCAGATGAAGGGAGAAAAGAAGAGAAAATGCCTGGCATAGCCTCAGTCCACCCTGGCAGCTTCTGTAGTCTCCTCCTGCCAGGTGTCCAGCTCCAGACCAGGGCGTAAGAGGAGCCTGGGAGTCAATATGACAGGGGGACAGGAAGTCTGCCTGGGGCGAGGCTGCCGGGGACACGGCCTCTTTGCTCTGATACCAGGCCCTCTCTTTCCACTGCCCTGCATCATTTGGCTCTCTCAGATCTCTCAGCCGGAAGACCCCATTTTTTTCTGCAGGAGCAACTTGGGGAGGAAGGAGAGGTGTTGAGCTGTCGTTCAGGACAGGTGTCTTGACCTCTTAGGCCTCAGTTTCCTCACCGGGGATGACAGGGGCCTGGGGGCAGGGCTATTACAAGGATGCAGCAGCTGATACTGGGAAGCTTGTGCTAAGCACGTGTGTGTGTGTAAACACATGCTTTGGCACCTACAGCAACAATGATCACGCTGGGGAGGGACTCTTGGCCTCCATCGTCTTCCACACCTACTGTCCCATCTCCCTGTCACAATTTCCTGTCACAACCAGTGCCTGGAAAATGTGAGGCAGCTATCTGGTGAGATAATCTGTGACCAGGAGAAGCAATGAAACACAGAAAATATTTTAAAATCATGCACGGTGAAGAACCAGGGATGGAGTCCAAGTGCGGCGGTGCACATCTGGAATCCCAGCACTCTGGGAAGCTGAGGCAGGAGGATCTTGCAGGTTTGAGCCCATCCTAGGCAACTTAACAAGACCCTGTCTCAAATAAAACAAAACAGGCCGGGGATGAGTGAAGGCCTTGGACTCAATCCCCACTGTCTAAAAAGAAGAGGAACACAGGATGTGGGAGCCATGCAGGCTCAAATCCTGGTTCCACTTCTAACTGTCAGCAAGTGACAACCTCCTCTATCTACAGAATGGGACAAACAGCAGTGCCTGGCCTGGGGCTGGGAATTCAAGATGATATATAAAGTGCTAAGTCAGTGGAATGTGATTCTCCCGCCACCACGCGGAAGGGCACTGAGGCCAGACAAGCAGAGGTGGTGTGGGGCCCTGCCACCCCCTTGGCTGAAATCTCTTGTCGCCAGAAGACTGTGAAGTGGAAGAATGCATGCATGTGGAAGCCTCAAGGCTCAGCTAAAGGTCACCACCGCCACCACTGTCCCTGTCATAGGGTTCTGAGTCTACGTGCTGCTGGGTGGAGCCTGCTTCTGTCCCTCCCTGCAGCTACACCGAGGCAGAAGAGCAGGTGACCACAGGGACAGGCAGCTAGGAAGGTGGGAGAGGACCTGGAGGCCAGGGCTGCTCTCCAGGACTGAGTCCTGGTCTGGCCTCTTGGACACTGAGGCTGGATGGAGAAGGGTGAACCTTAGAAAACACCCTTAGATGTAGGGAAGGCAAGGCGCTGTTGGGCCCAATAGCAGCACCCACGGGAGCGGGTGGAAACCTGAGAGAGGGAGGAGGAAAGGAGAGGAAGGAGTGGGTACTTGGGTCTGGAGTGTTAGGCTGAGGACTGAAGATCTGGTCCTTATGGCCCTAGGGAGCCACAGAATGTTCTTGAGCAGGAGAGTCAGTTGGTGAGCATTAAAGTTTATCTGCCTACACATAGAATGGTATGGAGATGGACAGCTTGTGCCCAGGGGAGCAAGGAAGAGGGAGCTGTGTGAAGCAGAAGAGGAGGGCTGGGAAGTGGGAGAGGGCACATCCCAAGGGAGCCGGCACAGAGCAGGGGACAGGGTGGGCCCTCTGCCAGAATGTGCTGCTGAATGGGTACTGCATGGGATCCTCTCCGGGCCTATAAGGAGGAAGAGGGTGCTGGTGGCGGAGGCTGAACCAGGTGGGGAGAGCCCTTTGGGAGCCAGCGGCACATGGAGGGCAGCGGATGGTGCTGCATGTGTCCAGGGCTGTGAGGACGCGTCCACGCCCACACCCGCATGCCGCCTGCCAGGCCAGCCTCAGACCCCTGGCTGTGTGGCCAGGACCAATGAAGTCAGTCTCGGAGAATCCACCCCGTGCTCCCGCACCAGGCGTGGGGGTCTGATCTCAAGAACAAGGCGTGGATGTCTCCGGGCGGGGATTTTCCACAGTCCCAGCCGAGCAGGGTTGGGGGAGGGAGGAAGCAGCGATGGGGAACATTAGGGCTCCCTCTCTGGCCTCTGAGTGGGCCCCAAACTAGGCAGGACCCCCACGTTCCCACCCCATTCTCCATAATTCAAGGGAGCTGATGACCATCCTTGGGGGACACAGGACACTGCCTCCCTCTGTGGATCTCCCCGAGCCCCAGTCCCTCCTTGGGCTCCCACAGCCCCTGACCCAACACTTGCCCAGTGCCAGGACTGAGCTGTCCCCTCAGTTGTCCTCCCCCAGGGCAAGCCTGGACTTGGGGCACGACAGCCTGCTCAGCATGCACCTGGGACACAGCCTTGGAGGGAGAAATGGCTCTGACCCGAAATGAACCGTGGGGCCTGGGGCAGTGGGCAGAGGCTCTGCTGAGCTCCCAGCACCCTCACTCCAGACACAGCCTGGTCCTGCCCTGTCCTCTGGCCCTAGACACCCCCCTGGCTACAAGTCCACAAGCCCAGTCTCAGGCCTGGCCCTGCCAGCATTGTGGCATCTGAGGCCTCAGTCTTCTCTGCCCAGGGGTGGGGCTGTCCTGGCTGAGCTCACCCTGAGGTCTTGCATTCTAAGAAAAAATGCCACAAAAGGCAGACATCCTTTCCTGTACTGTACCCCGCTGCGGGACGCTGCGAGATGCTGAGGGGGGCCAGAGAGAGGGGACACACCCTTCACGACATCACAGCAGGGTCCCCATCTGACTTGTCCCAAGCTCCTGCCTTCTCACGGTGGGACTTGGCCCCCCCCTCGAGCCATCTTGGCTGGAGACAGGCAGCATCCCTGTGCAGATGGAGGCCCCAGCACCCTGGGCTCACTGAAGGCTCAGCCCTCCCCTGGTGGGCCTGGCCCAGCAGCGAGGTGGGGAGCAGAGAATCCCAGGCGGGGCACTGACAGCAGCCGGCGGAGATGGGGAGGGGTGGGAGAGAAGCAGCCAGGGGACGCTAGGACAGCAGAGGTGGTCAGTGGCTGTCAGCCCTTGTCAAAGTAGCCTGGTCTCTGAGGGCGTGTGTGGAGGCTGCCATCTGGCGAAGGAAGTCTGCTCCCCCTCTACCCAGCGTGCCCTCACGCGCAGAGGGCTGTGCCTTCCCCCCAAAAGGCCACATGATCACCCCTGGAAAAGACAGAAGGTGGCCGTCCACAGTGGCCTCCTGGGACTCTCCCTGAGGCCAGCACTAGGGTGAGGCAGGTGACATGGGGAGGCATTTTGGGGGAGGGGGCACAGCAAAAAACAGAAACAAAACTCGGCAGCGCAGTAATATTTAATGCCATCTTGGGGGCGCTGGGAATGGAACCCAGGGCCTCACATAGGCTAAGCAAGGGCTATACCACTGAACTGCGTCCCTGGTCCTTAATGTAATAGTTTTAAAAATAAAAATACAAAAAAAAAAACAAAAACCCAAACCTGTGATGAAATGAACAATACCCAAATTTCAAATAAAGACAGAATCCATACTGGGTTTGAGTTTGCCTTAGGCAGGTTACGGTATCCTTAACTGACGTTACTTAAAACTTCGGTGCATTTGTTCCTTGTAGATATTCAGACATTCTTAAAAAATGCATTGAAATATTATTTATCTTAATTACTGAGTTTTTTACATCCCCTTAAATTGAGTACACAGACTAGGGCCTCCCTGGGCTTGCCAGTCCCAGCCTGGACGCTCCCCCCTCTCCCTGGGAGCTCCTGGTCACCGGTCCAGAGTTCTGCCTGGGACAAGGCTCCCCACTGCCCTCCTGCTCCCCAAGCTTCCCTAAGACCTTTCAGACCCTGCAGATCCGGGGTTCTTCTGCTTCCGGCCTCACCACGTGAGCTGGCATAGGGACATCTCCAAGTGGAAGCGAGGATGTCCTGCTTGGCGCTAGGGCCAGGCAGGGAGAAGGGCTCCTTCCCTTTATCCCTAGATGACCCAAGCCGGGTCTGGAACGGGCCTCTTCCCACAGTCTGGCTCATCCTTCCAGCCCCTGCCCCACCAAAGTCAGGCTCGGATCCCAAGCCTGCTGCCCCTTGGCATAATGGGGCTGTTCCCTGGGGGTGGGGGTCTCTGCCCCAGCAGCCCAGGGGAACCCTCAGGTATGGGGATGAAGGAGGGGTCTGAGCCCAGGTGCGGCTCACTGGGGACTAGGGGTGGGTACTCACCTCGCCCGTTCTGACTGGGTCGGAACACGCTGCCCACGCTGAGGCGGCCCTGCTGTGCCCCGTTTCGATCGGCCCCGGGCTGGGGCACATCTGAGTTGCGCACAGGCAGGTAGGGGGGCTCGAGTGAGCGGAAGGGGGGCTGTGGCTCCACGGAGCGCGGCGGGGCGTAGGCCTCCGGCGGCACGTTGGCGTAGGGCGGGAACCAGCCGAGGCGCGGGCCCTGTGCGGCGTCGGGCGCGAGGTCCGGGAAGGCCTGCTCTGCGCCCGCTGTGCCCTCGCTGTACAGGCTGTGTGCATAGCGGCGATCCAGGCCGTCGGGGGGCTGGGGCTGCGGTTGCGGCTGCGGCTGCGGCTGCGGCGCGTAGGGACGCTCGGGGGCCGGGTAGAAGCCTTGGGCCGGGTACTCCAGCTGCTCCTCGCCGTACTCCTCGTAACGTGCGCGGGGCTGGAAAGGGTACACCACCCCCGCCGAGGCCGAGGCCGAGGCCATAGCTGCTGCGCTGGAGCCCCCGCCCCGGTAGTACACGAAGCCCTGGTCGTAGGTGCGCGCCGCCGGGTCGTAGTTCTCGTACTGAGCGACAAAGGGCGCCTGTTGGTAGGGGATCTGCTGTGGGAAGGAGGGCGCTTGGCGGTAGGTAGTGGCGAAGGCCGAAGCCGAGACCGAGGAGGCGGAGCCCCCGGGCCGTTGCTGAGAGACAGAGGTGCGGGCACGGGCCATGCCGGTGCTGTCTCCGACGGCCACCTCGCGCCAGTTGTCGGGCACCTGGCCGAAGCCGAATGGGTGGCGCGCTTGACCACGCACGGTGTCCGAGCCCACGCGCCCGGGTAAGGGCAGCGACGGCGCCTGGCGACGCCGGGGACCCCCGTGGCTGCGGCGCGGAGGGGCCTGGGGCGCACCGGCCAGCAGCACCCGCGAGCTACTCTGCGCGCTCCGGGGCCCAGCCGGCACGTACTCGGAGCCCGAGTTGAGCAGGCTGTACACCTGCCCGTTGTTCTCCCACTGGATCAGCTGTCTCCAGCGCCCTAGGTCCGAGTCCGGGTCCGAGCCCTGCCCGGGCTGCTGAGCCTGCGGCCCGCGCACCAGGACGCACAGCCACACGCCCCACACCAGCGCCCTCAGCCGCCAGCCGGCGCGGCCCAGAGCCATGGTGGCCCCTCTGCAGAGGCCCCGGGCACCGACAGGCTCTCTGGAGTGCGCCCCTGTGCGCTGTGCTCTTCCCACGGCCTCGAGGACAGGACGGCTCCTTGCCTGCCCCAGCTCTAGCTTTGTCCATGCTGGCCTGGTCCCGAGCGGGACGGCTCCTCCGATGACACCATTTCGAGGCCAAGGGGGCAGGGCAGGGCAGGGCCGGGGCGGTGCCCGGGCTGCACGAGGCTCTCGGTGGTGCACGGGTCAAGCAGGACCGCCTGGGGGCCTTACATGGCCAGCCGCGCGCTGGCGGCTGCTGGGCTGGCGCGTTCCCACTCTGAATGAATAAGCAACAGGCTGTGAGCGGCGACAGGAGGTTCGGGCGCCCGTCTGCCTGCAGGGGCCTCCTCCGCGGGGCCCTACGGCCCGCCGGGTTTTAGCTATGTGGCCTGGCCCACCGCTCCCAGCCAAGCCGCAGAGCTGCGTTGGAGGAAGGGATTGGGGCCCGAGTGGGTGGGGGCCCTGGGGACTCTGGCCCGTGGAACAGAACAGGGTGTCAACACCACCCTGCCCATTCCTCTCTGCGGTACACGGGGCGTCCCTGGTGTCTCCCTTGCTTGCTGGCTTCCCTTCTCCCTGGACTCCTGGGTTCCCTTTTCCCTTGTTCTGCAAAGCTCAGGCTCAGAAACATCCTTCTCTTCGCTGGGGCTCCTTGGGTAGATGCAGAACAGGGTCCCTCGTAGATCTGGACTGCACGGTCCCGCAGTTCTTGGACCGGGGTCCTAGGCTCCTAGAACATTAGCGTTTCTCCTCCAGCTCTTCAGCCTTACTTTCCCAGTCTGTAGAATGAGAGGCGCCCCTGGGCTGAACAGGACCAGTGAGTCCAAAGGAGAAACCAGTGCCGCACACATCCCGTGGCATAGCCCGGGGGCACACACAGGCGTGAATATAATGAAGCTCAGCAGCTGCCTCTGGAAGCACAGAATAGCGAAAGGGATTCGGGAAGACTATGGTTGTGATTAAGCCGCTGGAGATCTTTGGTGGGTTCCTCCCCCTCTCTGAACTGGCAGCTGCATCCATATGGAGGGTTCGATCCCTAAGGGTGCTTTGGGGAATTCTCTGTTTTCTTTGGAGATAAGAGAGGTAAGAAGGGTCCCAGAAATTTGACCTTATTTGGTGTCCAAGAAATCACACTCTGAATGGTGCTCGGCAGGGGCCTAGGCTGCCTTTTCTGGCTAATTCCTGGGAACTGGAGGCCAGAAATTGTCCTCTTAAACTCCATAAGAAGGTACGAGGAGCCTGCCCTCCACTGGCCGCTGAAGTAACTCCTGGATCCCCCCGCCTTGGGATAAGATAGCCAAAGTGGACACTCACTGGGAACAAGGGGCCCGCTAAGCCCCATCCTAGCCAGGAAGCATTTATTCACCCACTGAACTGTTCTTTGGGACGGAGGCTGGATTCAGGTCACTCTGGGTATTAAATGCTCATAATCCAGCCAGGGAAGCTTCAACCCCATCTCTGTCCAGCTGTCGCTCAACACCGACAACCTTAGCTCCCTGGCGTGGGGCTCGGGCAGGATTCCTGCCAGAGTGACTGGCCTGGGCTCGCTGAGGGCTGGAACCTGCAGGGTTAAGCCTTCCCTCCCTCTTGCTGCTCCCCTGCAGTGTTGGCCTCAGCTGCCTGGAATCCCTGGGGTCCTCTAGGGCCCTCCCGCCAGCCAGATGGGCAGCAGAGAGAAGGAGGAGAAGTGGAAACAGGCCTCAGGGTACCCCCCGGCGTGGAGGGGAAGAACAAGGGAATGGGTAGCAGAGAATGGCATGAAGCAGGGGAGCTCAAGGCAGGACCCCTCTCCATGAGCCAGACTAGGGGGCTGCCTGGGGCTCTGGGGTGGGGCGGCCAGGGCATGGCCAGCGCGCTCAGCGGCTCTGTGTGCGCCAGCTCTCGAAGTGAAACCTTACCCGGCGCTGGCTCCGGCTCCTCTTTCTTTTTCTTAATAAGGTCGGATCACAGTGAGTCAGAAGAGCCAAGTTTCCTGCTAGGCTCTGTTTGAATAAACTCCGCTCTGAGCAGAGCTGGGCCTCCGCACAGGCTCCGTGGGCCAGCACTGTGGCTCTGCCAGCCATCCCTGCTGAGGCTGGAGCCAGGGTCCACTGGGGTCCATGGGTGACTTGAGCCAGGGCCTGGTGGCTCGGCCCCTCCCCAGGAAAGATGGTAAGCTTCGAAGCACTGTAGTCACACCTCTTGCGGCAGATTTGGGGCTGGAATGAGGGGATTATAAAGAGCACCCAGCACAGTGCCAGACATGTGGCCCCTATTTTCTGCCTTTCCTCCTGCTCTTGAGACAAGGGAGGGGCTCATCTCTGGAGGGTGCCCCCACCCCGTTTTTTCTGTCCCTTTCCCATTTGTATGTCTTCATCCTTCTTTGGCCGGGGTGAAGCTTGTGCAGACAGGGCCAGTCCTCTTCCCTTCTGCTCTCCCTGGGTCTCACCCTCTTCTGCTTCCAGTCTAGGTGCTACCTCTCCACATGCAGGGCACGTCTTGCCACCTGGCATCCTTAGGTGGAAACCTGCAGCGTGGGGGCTGCAGAGTGACCTGGGCGGGGTATAAAGGGTGCAGAGCGCCAGTCAAATAAAATGCGAGCTTGGACTCACCAGGGCCAGAGCTGTCCTGGGGGGACAGAGATCCTCTCTCCGCCCTGTCCCTACAGGTTGGGACTCATACCCATGGTTTTAAGATCCAAGCATGAGGGTGCCCCTTCCTGGCATTAGGAACCAGTCGCAAGGGTCCCTTGGAGGGTTGGTGATGAATACAACTGGAAGAACTGTGGATGCTGCAGTACTTTTAAAAGCACCTACTGTGTGCTTGGCACTGCATCCTGTAACCATGAGATGCAACTGCAGGTTCTGGAAATGCCGCAGGGAAGCAAGGACACAGAGACCTGGCCGGCAGAGGTCGGGGGAACAAGAAGGGCTTTGGAGTCGCTGTTTCTGTGATTAAGGGGAAGGGAGGAGCGTGGGCCGTGAGGCACCAGGCTGGGTGCACACCATGGTCGCTGCTTGCCCAGCTGGGGCACCTGGGTGGGTCCTCAGGAGAGGCCACCACTGGTGGGATTTGTGTTGACTCAGGAACGGAAGCCCCAACCCCACCAGCGGCCAGTGTGGACCCAGCTGCTGCTGCTTCTAGAAAGTGGGCTGGAAGAAGTGCTGAGTGAGGAGACTGGGCGAGCTGGCATGGAAAGCGCTGACTGTGCAGGGATGGGACCACCAAAAGACCACTGCCAGCTGGGCCCTGGGCCCACCCCTTCCCTGCAGCCACATCTGGAGCAGTAGTAGTGTGTGTGTGTGTGTGTGTGTGTGTGTGTAAGGGGCCTTCAGTCCCCAGAGCCAAGGCAGCCATGGAGGGGGCATGGGAGGGAGCTGGAGTTCTGGGAGGTGAAGTTGGAGCCTTCAGAGGAATAGATGGGGAGGTGAGGTGTGGAGGGGACCCACCCTTCTCTAGGACCCAGGGGAAGTCAGGAGCTGGGGTCACCCAGGATCCTCCGGGAATTGGAAAGGCCAGTTCTGATGGGACAGTCCAGGCCTAGAGGCCAGGTTTGGGGAAGCCAGGAGGTTGCCCCCATCCCTGGGGCCTGAGGAGTGGTGACAGCCTCTGTCTGCACCCCACCCCACCCCACCCAGGGCCAAGCTAGCAGGGCTGGGTCAGTTGGTATTGCAGGAAGGACTCCAGAAGACAGAAGGACTTTGCAGAGTTAGTGGCTGGGGGCTGCTGGATGGGAGGGCCCACAGGCCACCGTCAGGGTCTGGGGTGGACCTCAGCCAGTATGCAGGGACAGCAAGGAAGGCACAGTGTTCCCTGCAAAATCAAGGAGGGTGCCAGGCCCTGGGGCTACAGCTCCATAAAGGCCTCCAGACCTAGCAGGAAACTGAGGTAGGAACTCACTGTTTCTGATGAATCAGACTGTGGCAAGGCTAAGGGGAGGCCTTTCTACCACCTTTGTTTTTGTGCTGCACCTTTAACTTTCATTTGGCTCCTTCTCAGTTTCTCTAGTTAAAATATTGTTTCCAGGACCCTCCCCCATCTCCGTCTTCCCTGCCATTCATTCATGTGTTGCCCCTTCCGCATCTCCAGGTCTCCATCTGGTCCTCCTCTCTCCCATCCTGCTTTCTCTTCCTGTCCCTGGGCTGATGTTTCTCCCAGTCATCCCTGAGTTCGCTCTAACAATGGACGTGTTCCCTGGGGCCCTGCCCCATCCCAGGCCTGCCAGACCCCCAAGGGCTCCCAGTCTAGTGAGGGTGATACAAGTCCCAGGGGGTGGTGAAGAAGGTAAAGACTTGCACTGACTCTTGGAGACCTTTGAGAGACAATTCTGTTTCTCTTGGTCCATCCACCCATCCATCCATCTGTCCATCTGTCTGTCCATCTGGCCATTCATCTCTGTCTACCAGGAACTCTACCTTCTGGCACCTCTGTGAGGTGGCTTTATTCTGCTAGCTGCAGGACACCAACAATTTGCTTGTTACTCTAAGGGGTGGGACATGGTGGACCTGAAGGGCAAGCGGTGTGGGGTGAAGGTGGGGCGGGCAACAGAAGGAACAGGTCGTTGTCCCTCCCCACACCAAGGACAGCTGGGGACAGGGTTGCTATCTCCAAGACACAGTTTTGCCTCAGGGCCCTGAGCTGCAGCAAACAAGGAGTCCACCGCAAGGTGTTTCTTTGAAGGTGAGTTGAGATGGTGGTCTTGTGGTGTGGGCTGAGCTCCTGCTGTATGCTAGAGGACTGGACAGATGTCATCTCTTACCTGTGATGTTTCTTGTAGTGTAATGCACATGTGCCCTCCCAACTCCAGGAGTCCTTGCTAGAGACTGGTTTTGCTCAGCTGAGTTCTTGGAGAGGAAAGAGCTGCAGGGTGATGAAAGAGGAGTAGAGATATCACCAATCTCTTCCTCCTCCCCTTTTTGTTTTTGTTTTTTTTTTGTTTTGTTTTGTTTTTGGTACCGGGAATCGAACTTAGGACCTTGTGCTTGCCAGGCAGGCGCTTGTGCCACTGAGCTATATCCCCGGCCCCCTTCCCCCCTTTTAAAAATAACTTTTTAATTTTATATTGCAAAAGAAACATGTTAATTAGAGGAAATTTAGAATACAGAATAAAAACAGAAGAAACAGCTCTGGTTGTAAGATAAAGAAAACCAGTGTTCCAGGCTCTTGTGCCCACTCATTTAACGATAATAGGTTTGTGTCACGTATGTCGTTTTATAGCCTGTGTGATAACAGCTGAGGAGCATTTCCGGTGTCAGGGTAAGTGCCATGACCTACTTTCAATATTCACATCCATCCTCAGATGAAAGGAGGTCAAGCCTTTATTTCCTCAGATGCCCTCTGTTGGTGGGAGTAGG